AATATAACCTTCAAATGGGGTTTCCTGGCTTTTACGTGCTTGGTTGGGTGGGTTGGAGTTGGCCTTTTTTGTAGGTATGTGAAATGTGTTTGGCCTTTTTTGCTACCTATGAGATGACTATGGACTTCTCTTTGTCTGTTTGCCTCAACTCAGTTCTGATTTCTGAAGTTCTAGGCACATAGTAATCCACAAATTTAAAGTTGAGCTTGTGATGCCATAAGGTTATACTTGTTTGAGTGTTTCAGTAAATAACTAATTTTAATTATTAAAAAATCTAAAATATTTATCTCAAATGATTACATACGAATATCACCAAATAAGGATTTTCCAGCAGTATAATAAAAATAGTACATGACAACATCAAAGTATTTTGTAGTGTGAACTTTTTCATATGAAATAATATAACAAGTAGACATGATTAATTTTGGACTTCCGTAATGGCCGGATACCAGTCATTAAGTCATAATTCATATTTGGATCTACCGTACCTATTTGAAGAATGAGATCACTGATAAATAGGGTCTAAAATAATATGTTTACAGGTTGGCTTGACGGGGACAGCTGTCCGGCCGAGTCCTCTTGGCGACCTTTCTGGTGAAAGTTTTTTGATGAATTTTTTTTAGCTTGTTCTCCATCAAGTCTAGTTTATTCATATCAAATTTCAGCTAAAAATTTAATTGGGAAGCCAGTCAAATAAGTTATTTATCAACACTACTTTCCCGTCGGGCAGGCCTGACAAGAAAATTATATTAAGCTGGAGGTGATGCATATACATTTAGATTATATTTTTTGATGGTTAGATCTTGTTTTATGGGATAGGTTGAAAAATTGGACCGGACTATAGAAAAATTTGGAGTGGGTTGAATGTAATTTTTTAAAATAATACCTTAATAAAATAATTGTTTTTAACTGATCGAAAATACAAAAGTAATACTGTAATTATTATGGAATAAAGACAACACTATATAGGATGTTTTTACTTGGACTGTAATTTGCTGGTCTGGTCTGGTCTGGTCTGGTCTGGTCTGAACTGGTCTGGTCTGGTCTGGTAAGGTCTGGTTTCTTTGTATTTTTATAACTATCCAAGTCTGGTCTGGTCTGGTCTGGTCTGAACTGGTCTGGTCTGGACTGGACTGGTCTGGTCTGGTCTGGTCTGGGGAAAATTACAGTCCAAGTAAAAACATCCATAGATCCACACGTGATCACGTTTAGATGCACGTGCACAAAACAAACTCTTCACTAATCAAATGGGCAGAAATTTCACAATCTCTTTAACGCTCTATTTAGTTAGCGCGAACTTAAGTAAACCTACATTTTAACAAAAATTACGTAAATTTTGGTGGATATATAAAATGTCGTTTGAAAACAAATTAATTGAACTTAGATTAATGTAATAAATTGTTGTTTGGATGAATGTGCTCTAACTCATTAATGACATATCCCCTAAAGTCCCTCAATTTGGAGGTTCTTCAATTTTGGGTTTTCGTAGATTTTTAGGAGTTATGTGAGGTGAATTTAAATTTCCTAACAACCCAAGTTATTTGGTCCTAAAAATCTAAGAAAATGAGATTGATTAAAAAATTAATCCAACAATAATCCTCAAACAAACAGAGCATAAACACTCAAATATTGGTAGTGAGTCAACCTTAATTAAACAAGTTTAATAATGTTAGCTCGAGTTTGATTCTCTAATTCTTACAAGGTTGAATTTTGTGCAGCTAGCTATTTTTATCTCTTAGGGCATCCCCATCCATAGGATTATTTAGGGGTTATTTTGATGATGTGGTGATATTCATTGAGATTATGGTTGAGATGTTGAGATTATTTGATTAAAAAATCTGATATCAAATTCTAAACCTGAATTAGTTGAAGATTATTTTCGACTTTTAGTTTCCATCATTTGCAACGGAGTCAAAGATTCATTAGTTTTTTGCTTGAGAATATGATGGAATAAAGCAAAATGGCTCACTAAACTATCTACACTTCTTTGTTATGAAGCAGCAGTCAGTCCATGCAATTTTGGACGAAGTTTTCACTATGGGTCATCCGGAAACAGTCTCTCTGTGCTTTAGTACAGGGGTAAAACTGCGTACATCCGACCCCTCTTACCCCACTGTAGGTGGGAGCCTTTGCGGCACTGTGGTAAATGAAAATGATGATGAAAATGAGGCTCCTCTTCCAATTTTCTTGGCATACTCATAATTAAGGTACCAAGAGTTAAAAACTCGAAATCCAATTTTAAAAATTAAGATCATGATTGAGGATAAATTAATTGATTTGGAGATTATTTGAGATTTTTTGTGTGTGTAAGTGACATGATAATAACATGCCATAAAAAACTATAAAATTGGGAATCATGAATGGAGATGCACTTATCAAAAGATATATATGGTATACCAACTTGAGCTATTTGAGATAGAATTAATTATCAAAAGAGAAATAGACAAATAAGCCCTCAAACTATTTCTGTTTTTGCAATCACACCCCTGAACCGGAAGAATTACAAATACACCCCTCAACTCATTGAAATTCAAGCAATCAGGTCCTTTTTTATCTGCTGGTGCAAGTAAGGAGATGAGAAACTACCAACACCAGCGGGTAAAAAAGGATCTGATTGCTTCATTTTCAATGAGTTAAGAGGTGTATTTGTACTTCTTTCGGTTCAGGGGTCTGATTGCAAAAACGCAAATAGTTCGAGGGCTTATTTTCTTGTTTTCTCATCATCAAAATAGGACTAAAAGCTTGTTAGTTTGCACGAATAGGACCAAAAAGTAAACTATGTTTTGATAGGACTAATTATGTGTGTATTGGACAAATATACCCTTGTTGCTATTGAAATGTTTTAATTCATAATAAAATAATAAAAAATACTAAAAATTATTAAAATTATTTAAATAACAATAATTAAAATAAATCAAAAAAAGTATTTAAAAAAACGCAAAAAATAAAATAAAAATCACCGCCGCCTATGCCGCCCCAGCACCACCACCTCCAGTTACTATGGGGGAAAATGTAAAATTCATTACGAATGCCATATTTATGGTAGAAAACCATGAAAATGTTGGCATTTTCAAAGAGTAATATGCCATTTTTTGGCATTTTCAGGAAAAAAAAATGACAGTTTTTAGAAAAATGGCATTTTTTACACCGGTCGGAGGTGGTGGTGCAGGGAGGCAATACTACCACCTCCGGTCACCGGGGGAAAAATGTCACTTGCATTAGGAGTGCCATATTTTTGGCAATTTTCGGGAAAAATGGCAGTTTTTAGAAAAAACTGACATTTTTTACACCGGTCGAAGATGGTGGTGCAGAGAGGCAGTAAAGGTGGTGGGAAGTGCATCCATATTGTTTTTAATTTTTTATGGAGTTTTACTATTTTATATCATTTTTTTAATCAAAAAATAAACTTTTTTTTTAAAATTTTTATTGTATAAATATTTTCTTTCAACGTTTTTTTGATTTTTTTCGAATTTATTACGGAGTATGAATTAAACATTTAATTATGACATTTGACTATCTTTTACTCATATTTAAATGAAGGATAAAAATGAAATGAAAAAATAGGTATGTTTCCAATAGGACAAATATGATCCTATTTTGGAATAAAAACATAATAAACCCTATTTTGACTTTTTGCCATGATTTTAGTCCCATTTGGAGTAATTTCTATTTGAGGTACCTAGCAAGTAAATTTATCGGCTCTTTCTTGTGATCGGTAAAATCTTTATTTTGTTTTATGGGTAATGAAATATCGAGTATGCAAAAACATTTGAGTATCAGTTGAAAAATCTTCTAATCTTTATGTCTTTAAACTTATATCTTTAAACTAATATACATTTTTACTTCTTTATATAATTATATTTTACTTTTTCATAAATATTGACCGGATTGAAGTTGTTAACCAAGGTTAGTCTTTTGGGTTTGAGCTAACCCTTGACCCGATCATTTGTCCAAATTGCCTATCAAGAGTAATTCTTGTTGTACACAATTGTACACTATTTGTGTACACAGATATTTTGACATAAAATCCTACAGATATTGTGTACAAGTTGTTTACTGATTCTGTGTACAAATTTTGTTGTTGTGGATAATAAAGGTTTCTATTGGACAATAAAGAGACCAAACTTTGTTGTTGTTGATAATAAAGGTTTCTATTGGACAATAAAGAGACCACATATATCTATCTAGACCTGTCTGTGGTTTTCGGTTAAACCGAAACCAGAACTGGAACCACCGATTTTTGAACCGGACTAGAATCGGAACTGGAACCGCAGAGTACTTCCGGTTTGGAACCAGAGGTTTACTAGCCCAAAATTTGGAACCGGAACCGCTAACATTTTTTTAATTAATTATTTAATTATAATATTAATAATGCTAATAATTATAATAGTATTAATTGTACTAAAAATAGAAATTACAATTATCAGAGTTACTAGGTACTACTCCTTAGTTATTACTCCCTCCGTCTCGCAAAATAGTTCCCGGATTTCTTTTTGGGCCATCCCAAAAAATAGTTCTCAGTTCTTCTTTTGAAAAGTTTTGTGTGACTCATATTCATTTATCTTTTTCTTACACAATCACAACGATACATTTCCATTTCATTTCTAATTTCTTAAACTCCGATCCAAGTCAATGCAAGAACTATTTTGTGGGACGAAGGGAGTACTATACTAGTTATAATATTTTTATTAAAATGGTTAGTAGTAAGTGTCCATAATTTATTTTAACTATCTTACTTTTGTACTTAGTTTTAACAATGAGAGAGATTTATTCTTGTAATATTTTTAAAAGGTTTTTTTTCACCATCAGACTACAAGGTACTTGGCATAAAAGGTTTTATTAATCCATTTTAAAATACTAAGCTTTAGTATCTAAAAGTAAAATAAAAAATAAAAAATGGAACCGGAACTGAACCGGTTTGCAACTGAAAGTGCCGATTTTGGAACTGGTACTGTGTGGTTCCGGTTCCCTAAAATTTGGAACCATGACCCGGCCGTTAGGTTCAGTTTCCGATCCATTAATCTTATCGTGGGCTATAGCTCTCCCCTCCACCATCTATCGTTGTCGCCGTCGAGTAGCCGGAATCCATGGCAGGTGTGTCCCTTTTCTTCTTCTTCTTCTTATTCTTTTTCTCTTCTTCTTCTCTCCCACAGCTCCCAGGTTGCAAAAATCTACGGTGAATCCCAGGCCAAACACTGAAGAATCGACGGCACTATTGGTATCAGATTGCAATAGATCTGGCGGTGACAGTTGCAACAGATCTGGAGACGACGACTCTGAGGGATGGGGGATAACAGACGGATACTTCGGGAGCTTCCCGGTGTCGGCCTTGAGGGCTGTGAGCATCGGAAACAGAGGGATGTGGCAAGGGATTGGTGGGGGCTGGTGACGAGCTGCAGAGGAGGGAATGGGGGATGGGGCGGCGTTGGGGCGAGGCAGGGGTTTGCCTCACTCTGTCATTCCCATCAAATACATTTCTCAAGTTGATTTAAGCTTTGTTTAATTAGTAGTTTGTGTAAAAGACGAATCTTTCAGCTTCCCCTCTTCTTTGGTATAGGGTTCAACCATTGTTGAGGTTGATCTGTATAAGCTTCAGTGAAAGATGCAGTTCTTTGGAGGATCAGAGATCAGCCCATCGCCTCCTCTCCCAACAGCATCAGGGAACAATGCCCACATGCTGTATGTGTTCAATAGAAACGGGGTGTGCCTACTTTACAGGGAATGGAATCGCCCCCTTAAGACACTAAACCCTCAGCAGGACCATAAGCTCATGTTTGGTCTACTCTTCTCTCTGAAATCCTTAACAGCCAAGATGGATCCTACTAGGTATTTTTCTTTGGATAGTGTATTAATGGATACTTTAGCAGCAAAGAATCTTATTCATCTCTATCCTGGTGTCCAAAATGGTTGTGTTTTTTTATTTGGTTAGGAAACACCCAAATTTTATTAAAATGAATTGTTTCATTGATGCTGTATAGTGGAATTCACTATTTTCACGTGATATAAACTTTGTTGTGTGCATATTTGGATAATAGTGAATGCTAAGTATACCAGTTATCCTTGTAAAAATAATAGAGTTCCCTTCACATGTTTTTGGTATTTTACTTTTTCTTTTTCATTTTGGAATTTCATATTCTTGGCAGCATTGAAAAAGGAAATCTTGGAATTCCACAATTACCTGGACAAGGGTGTTCCTTTCACAGTTTTCGCACAAATACTTACAAACTAAGTTTCATGGAGAGTCCATCTGGAATAAAGGTTTGTCATTGCTCTTTTATTTGGTTGTCACAAACTAAAGTACTAAACTATTTGAACATCTCAAGTTCCGGATGTTTTATGACTGTACTATTATAGGTCCTTACTATTTATTGGAAAAATGATGATTTATTCAGTTCAAGTTAATTGTCAAGTGTTTAGTTGTGAAGTGATGGAGAGTGTGACCCATTGCAATATGAAATCTCTACTTATCCTTTTTGTCTTTAGTACGTACATAAAATTCTTTTATCTACTTGCTAAACAAATTTTTTAGTTAATCATGAAATATGAAACATTTAATGAATCTTTTTGTCTTTAGAGCATAAAATACTCCGTGGTTGCTTTGACGGAGGTAGCCTAGGCGGATTGCTGATCATCTTGACTTACTGGTTCCTACTGTTCTATCACTTTTTAAACTAAACTACAGTTACTATGTTAGAAACCTCAACACAAAGCAGCAGAAATTTATGGTTTACTGAATATGAAACTGGTCGATTACAACGGAACAAAAAAATACGGAAAGAAAGAGAAGAAATCGGAACGAGACACTTAGAGCAGTCCCCTCTCCCAAGTCCCAAGCCTAATTCCAATTTCTGCCTACCCTTTTCTACTCCCCCAACTCCGGCTAGCCGAAACGAACAGAGTTTATTGTAATGAGACTAGCTTCTCTAAAAGTCTTCTAGTAGCTCTCTCAAGACATCAATCTTCATACACCACATCATCTGTAACATAAGAGAAATAAAAGAAACAAATAACACAAAAATTAGCTTTATAGCTAAGTAAATCCCACCCAACCCCGTAAAATAATAGGTTTGGTGAAAAATAAGAATTTGTACATAATATATACAAAAATGGTTTTCTTCAAAAGAGTAGTAATAATCCCAATGATTTCCTCAAAATTTCTTACAAGTCTTCCAAAGAATAATTCTCAAGTACAAAAGTATTTGCTTTTCCTCAAAATAGCTTTATACCTAATTCCAATTTCTGCCGTCGCCGTCGCCGTCGCCGTCGCCGTCGTCTAGGTCTATGTCTCTATCATACTATCAACTGTCTTTTCCATTTTTGTACAAATTGTTTTCCTCCAGTGAAGACTCTTTCGGATCAACTGCTTGATTATCCAAATTGGTGTAGTTGATTTGCTGTTCGTACGTGTATATGCAGATAATCCTCGTCACACATCCAAGGACTGGTGATTTAAGGGACTCGTTGAAGTACATTTACAACTTGTATGTCGAATATGTTGTCAAGAATCCGCTTTATTCTCCTGGAAGTCCTATTAAGTGAGTGTCTTCATATGCTCATCAATAGTGAAAGACTTGGTTTCTTGAATTGTCTTGTAGTTCAGCCCCTAAAGATATCTCATCATGTCTTTAATACAAGCTATTACACATCTGAGAGTAGAATGTGTTTATACAATTATTACATTGTGCTTTAATTAAAAGCACTTGTTAGTCCAAAACTTTCTTAAATACAAGTATAAAACTTTGTTGCATAGGAAATATTCTGTCCCAAAAAAGAGCCAGGTTTCAAACACTTTTTAGTCCAAAAAACGAATTTGTTCAAAAAATGTCCACTATGACCAAACAAAGTTAAATTTTTATTCAAATTTCCAAAGAATTTTTAAAAAAAGCTGCACAGTTTTTGTTCCAAAAACACATATGGTTCTGAAAAGCTATGCCTAAGAGCAAGAGACTCTTGTTTGGTTACTTCACTTGACCATGTGATATCCTTGAGCTCTGCTTGAAATTCTCTCCATTGTTTTTTTTAGCACAGGAAAAGACACTGTATTTTAATACGGAGTAGATTGTAACATACGTTTGATGATAGTTCTGAACATTTGCAAATGTGAAAGTCACTGATGTTAAACTTATTCCTGCAGATCTGAGCTATTTAACAGTTCTCTAGATCAGTATGTCAGAGGTATCGCATGACGTATCATGGTACGGATCTCTTTTTTTCTTTTTGATGTTTTCTTTTAGTAAATGCTTATTTATGAGTCATTGTAAATGAAACAGGGTCACCCGGAAAGATAGACAGAACGCTCTATAGCCTTTTTCTCCAAAACCCTCCATCCAAACAGAACCAAAACTCTTTTATTTATTGCTCCCAAAACCTTCCTCCCCAAAATCCTCCATCCAAGCAGAATTTAAAGCTGTTTGGATGCTGACTTGATATACTCTTATTTATGTGTCCGCTTTGGAGATCATTTAAATAGGATGCTGACTTGATGATGTCTAAAACAGATTTTGTGACCGGACTCAAGATGATCTATCACACTCTGCGCTTGGATTATCAGAATTATTTCTGTTTTTGGACAACAAAATACAGTCTGGTTTGGTTTGTTATTGTGACATTGCTAATATGGTTTACTCCTCGTTGGTATAAAACCTGATGGTGAACGTTCAAGCTAATATAATATTTTTTTACACCGTACGTTTTTTTGCCTGTCATCAAGTACATTCACAGAATCACAGTGGAAGTTGACATCTTTTATTCAATTTTTTTGGAAAGACTTCTATTCAAGTTTTATTCATTTGATATATTAATTGGTTTATTGTAATAGTAACAACAGTAGCTCCAACAATACTAATAATACTCCCTCCGTCCCGAAAACAACCTCCCGGTTTGACTTTCACACACTTTTAGAAAATAAATTTGACTTTACTATAGAGTGCACTGTTTGGCACTGTTTAAACACCGTTTGGCACTGTTTAAACACCGTTTGGCACTGTTTAAACACTGTTTGGCATTGTTTATCACTTTTTTGATGTAGATAATTTGCCAAATAAAGAAAGTATTGAAGTGTGAAGTTAATTTTGGGACATTCATTTAAGGAAAGTGGGAAGTTGTTTTTGGGACGGAGTGAGTAATAATCTTGCATGGATGTCTAGAAAAACCTTACAAGTTACAAATTACAACATACTAGTAAATGGTTAGAAAAGTACACATAGAGAAAGATTGTATTTATTTCTTGGGAAGATAATGTATGACCTATGTTGCACGCAAGCGTAAATATCATGGGGAAACGGGAAACATTTTTTAGTTAAAAGTCAATTATTTGGAGAGTTTACGAAGAGTTTCTGTAAAATTTGTGAAAGGGAAATGTACCCTTTCTTGAGATTTTCATGCTTCAATAGTACGTGTGGAACTGTGGAACTACTAAAGCAGGTTTTATTTGGTTCACATCAATATGGTGAGACAATCAATCTCCATGTATCTCCTTGAGTGAGTTGAGTCCTTTCTAAAGGTTCAGATAATCAGATTCCAGAAGATTGAATTATAATTATGTTCAGATAATCACATAGAACCCACAACAATAGAACTCACATCAAGAAAACCAATAGATTGACGAACCTTTTACTGCACAAGTTTGTTTTATACGTAGTAATTTTTCGCACAATCATATAATCATAAAAAAGTTTTATGATCTTCCAAATGCATGTTACATACTCTCTCTGTGAGTCTGTTCTGCTTAGAGCATCTTCATCCATGATCCTTAAATATACGGTTTTTCATGCTTTTCTCTTGCCATGTCATTGTTACATAAATAAAATCAAATTTTACTAATTCTCCCTCAACCATGATCTCTACCCATTTAGTTTTTTTATGAAGTTTTTTTGTTATTTCCAAGGAGGTATTTTATTCATTCCAAATTAAAAGATATGGTTGCATTAAATGTGTTTATTGAAACTTGAGAATAATCTCAAATAATCTAGGATTCAATATTTGATACCAGATTTTTTTATCTAAATAATATTTCGGAATAATCTCATCTCCACAATCATAATCTCCAAAAAAATCTTCCACATCATCAAGATGATTCCCAAATAATCTCATGGATGTGGATGCCCTTAGATTGTTCCTTTTTTTTTTCTTTTCGGGAACTCCACTAAAATTGTCCAATACCAAATTTGGTAAAACTTGTGTGGTTGTAAGTCATCCTTACTTTATCACTTCAATACTAACTAGGGATGGACTGGGCTCGTTTAGCCCGACCCGGTACCCAGCCCGGCTCGTTACTGTGCGGGACCGGCCTGACCCGGCTGATCGGGGGTATTAGGGGTGGGCTACGGGATACATATATGGTGGACCGGTCTGGGCTCAAATTTTTTTCCCATTCATTGGCTAATAGGCGGGTGGGGTTGGGTGGTTTGGGGGGTGGGGGGTATGATTAAACTAGGTAAAACAATGTTTTTGGGGAAAATCACAATTTTAGTCCCTGAAATAGTCACCACATTGAAATGTCAGACTCGTGTTCTCCAATTTGTAAATGTCACCCTTCAATTGTCCAAATTGTTAGTAAATGTGGTCCTTTGAAGGATGAAATGTACAATGTGGGCGAAGAGTACATTTGACTCCTGAAAGGATCACATTTACAACAATTTGGACAATTGAGGGGTGACATATACAATCTCAGATATACGGGTCTGACATTTCAAGACAACTTTTCATGTCCAGCCGGCCTGACGGGAACCACCTTCTGGCTGATGGCATTTCGGGCACTTCCCGGTGCAATTTTTTGATGAAATTTTTTGAGCATGTTCTTCATGAAGTCTAGTTTATCCATACCAAATTTCAGCTAAAATTTTAATCGGGAAGGCACTCAAATAATCTCTTGAATTTAACTGGGCAGTTCATACATATAAACTGCGCAGTTAACTTCAACAAATTATTTGACTGTCTTCCTGATTGAATTTTTAGCTAAAATTTGGTATGCATAAACTAGACTTCATGAAAAACATGCTCAAAAAATTTCATCAAAAAATTCAACCGAGAAGTGCCTGAAATGCCCTCGGCCGGACGGCGGTTCCCGTCAGGCCGGCTGGACAGGAAGACTACTCGACATTTCAATATGGTAACTATTTCAAGAATTAAAAGTGCGATTTTCCCCTTTTTAAGAAAAAAAACATAGACCTGGCCCGACCCGGTCCCGGTTCCAACCCGGGCCGGTATCGGGCCTGCATCCGAAACCCCCAGTCCTGCCCCGACCCGTATAATTCAAAGATGAAGTATAATTCAAGCTTGTTATTCCATATTCCAATAAACCTTTATTGAACAACCTCTGACACTAATTTATCGCGAATGAATATATATTTTTTGTCAAGACCTTGTGGTAATGTTTTTGTGGAAAATAACTTTTGCACAAATTGTGACTCGAATTTGACAAGGATCTGCTAATCCGTGCAAGATCCTTGAAAAAACTTAGTGCAATTAGTAAAAAAATAAAGAAGGAAAAATGGAAACTAATAATCTCACCTTTTATTGTTCTTCTTATAATAGTCCCACATAATTGTAATTCAAGTATAATCTCACCATTGCACCTCATCTTCTTTCATTGGTCCCTGACCAGTTGGTGACCTGTTATTTCAGAATTTTTTTTTTGTTTTGCAAAACTCTAAATAGTAATACCACCTTCTAAATGGTGTTTGATTTATATACTTCACTAACATTGGTGTTACATAATAATGTTAATTAATCTAAAAATCAAGGGTCAACTTTGCAAAGAATTACACAATAATGCTAAAAATCAAGGGTAAACTTTTTGAATGCTGATAGCATCTCCAATGTCACAATGTGCACAATGCGCATACAATATGAGATAGATAGACACAAAATATTACTAATTAGTAACACTGCATTCCGATTCGACTCATATTAATTACTAAAAATATATTAGCGGAAGTATTAATTCCAGAATGCAAACCACTAAGAGCCTGTTTGGTAATACCCAAATTGACTGTATTGGTTAATTCTACTAAAATTTATGAAATTCTGGTTGAAGTGAATGAATAAGCCGATTCTGATGATTTATGAAAAATTTATATTTAAAATAGAGAGAACCGCACTTTTTGTCCCTGAAATAATTATCATATTGAAATGTGAGACCCGTATTTCTGAAATTGTAAATGTCACCCCTCAATTGTCCAAATTGTTGTAAATGTGATCCTTTGAGGGGTGAAATGTACTCCTCGCCCACATTGTACATTTTATCTTTAAAGGACCACACTTACAACATTTTGAACAATTGGAGGGTGCCATTTACAAACTTGGGAACACGGCTCTGACATTTCAATATGATGACTATTTCAGGGACTAAAAATGTGATTTTCCTATTAAAATATATTTTATTAATAAAATAAAAGGGGTGATTTGAACTTTTTTGGCTAGTTCGAGGGCTTATTTGTCCCTTTTCCCAAAATTATATGAAAAACAACTAAAATAATCATCTACAGTAACTTCAGCAAGAAAAGTGACTACAACATTTTTTCTTGTTTTTATTACAACCGTAAGCGCGAAATCAAAAGTTACGTGTTTGGTGAAAGTAGGCCGAAAAGTCTGATAAGCTGAAAAACAAGACCAAACGGACTCTAAATCATAAATCCTACCTTCCACAAATCTTCTCAAAACGGAAACACATGATTTTTCTTGTTTCTCCCTAAAAATTTTCTCTCTTTTTCTTTATCATCACAATGATGTTATTCCTTTTTATTCTTTTTTTATTTTCATTTATTTACCTTAGTTATATATGCACACCTTTATCCATTTACCATAAGAGTTATTTTATTTTCTTTTTATCCATTTTCTTCTCCTCCATTTTATTTTCTTTCCTTTTTATGTAGGGGTGGGCGCGGTCCAAAATGGTCCCATAATTTAGCAAAACTTGTAATATAATGTACTTGTGAGAATTCTAACGGTTCGGTCCGGTTCGGTACATTGTCTAACCAATGCTAAATTTTTTGGAAATATCTTGTAGTTAGTAGTTACCATCTTACCTGAAAAGTTCACATGACATGTTGATAAACACATAAAAGAAAGAGCATATTAAATACTAAGATAGATTCAAGATGCTAACATTTTTATCTCTAAGTTTTGAAAATAAACAAATAATGCAACAACACTAAGGGAAAATATACCAAAATGATGATACATCATATAGACATCGTCTTCATTATATTCACGTGAAAACATAAAAAGAATATCGTCACATTAATAAATATAATAGAAAAAATCATCATTCTTAATCTTAATTCTAGCTTACAAATGAATATTAGCTCTAATTCATAGTTTCATTGCTAGAGCTAATATTTATATAATAAATTAAGTTGCACAACTACACAAGTAGTTATATGATATACCAAATAACAATGGGAAAATTCCCGAAATAGGAGTAAATAAGTTTGAAAATTCCAAAATAGGACTGCCATGTTTTTATTCCCAAAATAGCTACTGCCAAGTTTGGAACATACTGCCATCTGTAAAGTCTGGTACTGCCAAAATATGACAGTGATTAGTCCTATTTGGGAACAAATAACATGACAGTCCTATTTTGAAATTTAAAACATTTTTAGTCCTATTTAGGGTAATTTCCCAATAATATACACACTTCATATAAATACTAGAAGTTAATCGTTATTCTAAACTTTAATATTCTTTCAATATATACCAAATATAATATAAATTATCTAAAAGAAGTGAATAATAGAATTTATACACACACATATTTAACTATGTTTGCAACGAAT